AAAATCAAAATTGCCCACGCACCAGATGCTAAGCACTGGGCGTGAGGTGGGGTGTTAAAGAATGACAAAAGTCCCACATCGGTGGTTAATGAGATGGGTGGACTCCATATAAGGCTTGGGCAATCCTCCTCCCTTTGAGATAGCTTTTGGGGTGTGAGTTAGGCCTAAGACCTAATTTAACAATGAGAAGTATGAAGATGTTGGAGAAATTGATCATGTTAAAGATATAATCAAATGGGGTAGTTTATATTTGCTTAAACTCTTTGTTCCTCCAAATAATTCTTCAGCAAGAATCTACTCTCAGGTACTAATCAAGAATCTGAATTCAAGACTATTTTGAGTTAATCATCGAAAACATACATGAACTATCACTTTTTCATGAGTTTCACATCTCAACTGTCAATTGTTCTCTTTTCCTATCTGATTTATCACCCATATGTGTATTAAAACACACCGCGAAGCTGACTAGGCCAAATCAGTTGTTCCCTTTTCCTACCTTAACTGTCACCGTATATTCAACTAGGCTTATTTTAGTACATAGATGGTGATAGTTCAGGTAAGAAAAGGGAATCGCTGATAGTTGGAGTGTGAAACTCGCGAAAAATGATAGTTCAGTTGTGGTTTGGACCATTATCTCTAATATTTTCGGATAAAAGTTTCAATCTTTTGTTGATTTCTCATTTCAGGTTGGAGGGAATAATTCAAATGCTGAGAATGATCTAACTTGTTGGCAAAGGCCAGAAGATATGAATTACCCAAGGCTTGTTTCGGTTTGTGACATTAGTACTGCTTCAGACTTAGCAGGGGAAATGGTAGCAGCATTGCCAGCTGCATCATTAGTATTGAAAGAAGATAAGGACGTTTCAGAGGAATTGGTGAAAAATTGCAGAGGAATTGTTCATTCTTGCAAATAGAACAGCGAAGAAAGGAAAGTACACGACGAATGATGAGTGTGGAGGACATGCTAGGCAATTTTATAACTCAACTAGTTATAAAGATGAATTGGTTTGGGGTGGACTTTGGTTGTTTTTGGGTCGGAATTCGTGTGATGGTTCAAAAGTCATTTCAAATATTCTTCGCACCAACTTTTCACATGACACGTTTGAAATCTTAGTGTAAACGACATTTTGGTATATTCTATATATCTTTAGTTTGAAACCACAACATTCAAAAGTCATTTTTACTTTCTTAAATTTCGTGTCAAGTAAAAAACAGACTAACAAATTGAAACGAAGAAAATAGTAGTTTCTTGACATTGTTTAGATAATTAATTAAAAGGTTCATTAAGCACAAATAGTTACATCAATTCTATAACTAAGCAGTAAAAAAGTTTACATATGCAAGACACGTCTTATATTAAATCGTTTGATGCAAACACCGGGTGCATTAGTACCTGGTGTTTACATCAAACCACACAATCTAATCTTATAATCGTGAATTAGAATAAAAGGTACACATCCCATTTTGGTGCTTACAAGTACGTAGATATGTACCAAATGAAGTGTACGTTCACATAACTGAACTTGGGATGTATATTTTACATAACAAGCAAAAAAAGGATAATGGTTAGAAAACTTTTAAAAAAAAGTTATATTTACAGCTAGCTTGTCACATTTTCATCTTCAAGTAGATTTTAACATATCAAGACCATATGCACCCTACAAAATAAAGGTTAAATAAACAATTAGCAGAATTAAGAAGAAAATAATTCTTATTGGATCATTATTAGTGTAGAGTTGAATATAATTAGAAAATAAATTATATTGAGATCGATCTTACCAAAACGTCGTGAATTTCTTTTAACAAAGGTGTCAATAGTGAAATGAAGGTACGCAATTCCTTCTTAAAATCATCGTTATTTTTATCTTTGCCCTTCAGAATTGTGATTAACCCCTTGCTCTCTGGCACTAGCTTTAGTGCTACCTGCAGAATAATTTTTTGTTTAATTTTCAGATAAAATAACTTAATAACATATTTTTACACTATATAGCGGCCCATCAAAATAATAGCCTGAACTTTTTTTTAGTATACTAATGTTGTGTGTATATATAAACACACACATATAATACACATATTTTATACATAAGTAGTGTATATTTTTGGGATAGTTACGATCCTAAACAGTTCGGCCAACTAGTTTATAAAATATGTACAGTATGTAAATGTTGTGTATATACATATTTATTCACAATGTATACACTATCAATGTATATTTTAACCATGTTGGTAAACTAGTTGGCCGAACTATACACATATTCGTGACTTTCCCTATACTCATAATTCATGTGAATAGTAAAAATTGAATATAGAAAAAAAAAAAAATGACCTTGAAGGCAGCTGAAGAGATCCATCCATGCCATGGCTTAAGGGTGTTAGTGTAAGATTCTTGAACAGCTTGCACCATGTTCCTCTCTAAATCATCCGCCAGTAGTTGTAACAATGCTAAGGTGAAATCCAAGGATCTGCAAGTATATATCCAATATTCTAAAATACTAACTTCAAACCAATTTTTACGTCGTTAATATAAACATTTTTTACATTATCGAGTCATTCAAAGGATATCTGAAATAAAACATGTTACCTATCATAACAGGTACTGATGATATGATGAAGTAAAAGTTATATACACTGGTAGTGCATATTATTTACACTCTTTAAAGTAAACTCATGAGCTAACACTAGTATTCCATCCTAATTTTTAGAAATACATACATTCACGTAAATATAAATTAGAGAGATGGATCAAGAATTTTAAATTTGATGAGTTCAAATTATGTTTAAGCTTGCATACGTACAACTGATTTCATTATCTAGGATTTATAGGTTCAAAACATAATACTTTATAAGTTGTTTTTTACTAATTTTCTACATCCATTTATATTTAGTGTCTATAATATTTGATTAAATTTTATTAGTTCTCCTTAATTATAAGAACCTTCTCTAAATACTTGGTGAATAGAAAGAAAGTGACCACCGAAAGATGTGGTGTAAGTGGATGAGGTTGTTCTTTCCTTAATCAGAGGTTTCATATTCGAGCCCTAAATATGAAATAATTTTTTATAGAAAACGCTGCCTCGAATGGGTCCAACCCAAAGCAAAAAAAGTATAAAGAAAGTGAAAATATGCAAAGTGTTAATTTACCTGGTGAGCCAAAGAAGAGCTTTGCAACAAGTTTTAGAACACTTTGTTCCTTTGCCTTCACTAATTATCTCTTTCTTTAATATCTCAACCATATTTGAGTAGAGAGCAGGGTCTGAATCATGCACCTTTTCCAATTTCTATACATTTGATATACAAAAATAAACTATATAAGTAAATGTTAAAAACAAGAAACTAAAATTAATATGTACAATGACGTATTAGAAACAAACAAAGAAGGGCAAAATTATGCACGTAATGGTGTAATGTAATATAATGTAACGATCGAATAAAGTGGATAAAAATCATAAGAGCTTTAGTATTTTAATTTCTCATAAAGAAACTAAAAACACTATTATGTGACTATTATTGTTCCTATACGTGTTTAAATTTTAGTAAGTTAAAAGCTATTATTCGATATTTATATTAGTGGAAAAGTATTTACGAAACTAAAATAGTCAAAGTGTAGTAGTACTTATTTATCCACAAAAAGTTAAGATGAAGAAATTTTGGCAGCATCAGGCTTCTGAAGCTACCAGTAATAATGTACGTTGGGGGCCCAGAATTAAAATCCAAATCGTGTGTTTTACACATACCATATGAAAATACCTTACAACTTTATCCACATAGTACAAAAAAAATAAAAATTACTCCATACAACAAACATTATAAATCACTCTATTAATATTATAAGAGATATTTTAATTGAAATTGCTGTAATGAACAATATATACCTTTAAAATATATTATTAAATAGTGCAAGGGTAAAAAGTCCTTCATAAAGTTTGATATCGTAACAGCAATTTCGGCCAAAATTAAAGTATTTTTCAGACTCTTTTACCTTTTATTAAAAAAAATTAAAATCAAGAAGAAAAGATGAATTTTGGAATAATAATTATTAGGATAAGTGATAACTATCTGAAAAAACTTAACTCGATCATATCATTGGTTTGCATGTTCAAAAAGTCTTCATTTACAAAAGAATTACTCTCTTCGTTTCTATTTAAGTGTTTTAGTTTGTATGAATATAATTTTTTTAAAATTTTTTATTATATTAAATTAAAAATATATATATAACATATTAAATCTCATAATTTTAAATTTGTGATATCGAAATTAAAACTGAGATTGAGATAAATTAAAATAAAAAAAATATGACGGATAAATTGAGACGAAGAAAGTATGTATGATTGTACTTACCTGAATATTTTGAAATATGTCTTGTCTCAACACAGCCATTGTCGGCCCTATCTTATCTTCAAATCATATCATCGTTTCACAACAAAACAACAATTAATAACAAACCAAATCCACAATAATTATCCAAGAATCATTAGAATTAAAAAAAAAGAAGAAGAAGAATATTATAGTACTAACCAAGAACTTGAAGGACTAAATTGGAGATAGAGAGAAAAGGCATAGTAGGAATATGATAATTATAATCTTTATCATCATCATGATTAGCAACAAGATTAAGAGCAGTTTGTTGTTGATCATGTTTAATTAATTTGACTTTGATGAGCTTCATCATAGATAGTTCTTCAATACCAATTGTTATTTCTGTTGACTCTACTTCCATATCTCTTCTTCTCTTCATTTCATCAAATTATACACTTTCTTCTCTGACCACTTCATCTTAGATATATATAGTGACAAAACTTGTTAAATATTAATTACCAAATTTAAAAAATATGTTCACCAGCTGTTTTGGTCATTGTTATCGTCACATGACTAAAATATTATACTAACAATATTATTTTTTTGCTCTAAGAAATATTCTTTTCAACGGCTCTCAAAGTGTTGGGAGCATTTGAAATCGCTCTATAAAATCAGAGCTCATAAAGTTACAATTTTGACTTAGTCAATTTCTGTCCTTATAATACGTACTATTTTTTCTCTTTTTTTTAGAGTCAAACAATATGAATTTTGATTAATATTTTATAATGTATTTTTTTTCATCATATTGATATGAAAAAAATTGCAACTTATAGTGCTTTTTATTTAATTTTAAAATATTAAATTAATATAATCTAATTTAACTTTAAAAATTAGTTAGATTAAATTTTTTTAAAAATACAATATAACAAGTAAAAAGGGAATGGAGGAAGTATATGTTTTCTCTTGCCTTACATATGAATTTAACTATATTATAATTTAAGATTCAAAATGAATATCGAAAGAGATGAAAAGAAAAATGATACTCTCTCCAATTAGGACAGGTGATTTCTTTTATTAATTGACCTTGAAGTTGTCATTTATCGTATTAGTATAAAGTATAATTTAATCAATTATTATTGTTTCGTGTTATCCCTTTGAGTATTGGGTTAGAACTACTCAATAAAAACGAAAATTTCCAAATTAAATAATACTCTCATTTATTGAACTTCTTTTTAAAATAAAATAAATAAATTGATAATGGCACGAGTCTAGGGTAGAACCATCTGTTGGAAACTTGGAATGGGATTACTCACAGTATTTTGTATGGAAAAATCGGAAATATTTGGTTATATTGACTTATGATATCCTACATTTATAAAATTTGTAGCTTGTATTGGTGATATGGATAACAATCTTTATACTAATATGGAGTTTTTTGGTCTCAAAATAATTGTTGCTTTAGCTAAAAAAATATATATACTTCTTATGTCTTCCTTCACTTTTCTTTTTAGTCAATAAGATATTAAATAACAAATTTTTAAATATTTATTTTATCTTACTAAAATAATTTATAGTCACTCGTTCATTTTTAAAAAAAAATAATATTCAATTTTTATTAGGCATAAAATAAGTTAAAGCGATATTAATTTTAAAAATAGAAGGAATAATGCTTTTTAAGATACTCTATATATTTGGATGACAAAGAGATAATTGGCTGATTCGTTGAATTAGATTCAAGATTCAAGTATTACCATTGGAGGTATGATTGTTTACTATAATTTAAATAGTATTTTCTGATTTATTTTAAATAATCTTTTAATTATTTTGCGTCCACTAAAATATTGACACATTCTTATATAGAATAGTTAAGATACATTATTATTATTATTATTATAAGAAATTTTTACCTAATCAGATTATCCTAGTCAATATATTACGGATAAACTTTCTTAAAAATCATTAAAGACATATATTATTATAATTATCACTGTACATGAAAAAAGACCATTAAATGAAGAGAAGGTGACGATGGGGTTGTGGGGAGAGGTTCTAAGATAATTAGCATTATTTTTTATTATTTTTTTAGCACGATCTCACCCCTGAGAATTATAATATTTAAATAAAATGGTTATCGAAACTTATAACATGAGTAATTTATTTAAGTTTTTGACTTTTCACCCAACGTTGTAGTTAATTTGTTAATCAGAGGAGGATCAGGGAAATTAATGTTAACTCCACCACATGATAAATCTTCAAACTTTTGACACTAGTCATGTTCTAAGCCCATAACACGTATTGTTATAATTGATTTAGAAAATCTCACAAATTTATTATTTCAACGATGTGATTAATTTAAAAAAGTTGGTATTATGTGAACTCTTTGTATTGTTATATAACTTTACATTTCTTCGTCTTTTTTTGTATGTGAAATACACATAAAATATCACATGTACTCCTTTCATGTCCTCATTATCGCTCACGACTATCACATTATATAATATCCCCCATCTATTAGGATATCAACTTCGATAAATTTCAAGAAATTGAAGAATTAAAAGTGGACGGAGGTAGTATATAATTTCAAGATTGAAGAATGTATCGACACTTTACTGTCCTCATTCATAGGATATATATATGAGGAATTAACAATGCTGCTATTATTGCAGGAAGCATATCATGTGAATTTGTTCTAATATGTCCAACAAAATGTCTAAAACAAAAATAATTTTAATTTTAAAAATAGGAAAAAGAGCAAATCTCATTATTGAAAAACACAATTAGTTCATCAATTATTATTAAGGTTTGATGTTTCCCAACAGCAACGTAAATGGATAAGGTCAAACACATGAAGGTTAAAGAGTTTCTGGGAGTTCTCTACTTTTATTTTGTTTTTCCTTTTTTCAATTAAATTATCATATTTTTATTTATATTCTTTTCGTTTCAAATTATCTATTATATTCATCTTTTATTTAAGAAAATATTACTTCTTGTGTCCATATTTTTTTTTTTTTTTGAGATGTAAGACACTTCAAAAAATTAATTAAAGATATTAAATTAAGGAACAATTTATTAATATTACACTTTTTATTCTTTTCAGACTTTTCTTAAAACTAGAAATAGTCATTAAAAACATGGGTAATGTTGGGGGGAAATCAATTAATCCATTTGTTTCATATTAGTTGTCTCTTTTTCTCTTTACACCCCCATAAGAAATCATACATAAGAAAGATAATTTTACTAATTTATAACTCCTTAAAATACTTTTTTTTAACGAACTTATTTACACTTTTAAAAATAAATAGTTGACAGTCATGTAGACGATTTTTTTTTAATTCTATCTTGAATTTGTATTGATTCATTGGAATGGATGAAGTAATTAGAAGGGATTTTTGACATCTTCACCTCTCCATCAATATATGAAAGACAAATATCGCATAGGTCAAAGTAGCTCTTGCTTAGTAAATTCAAATTTGACCAAGAACTTTCGAAAAATATTTATTTAATGGTAAGTGATTAATTTACTTTCAAAAACAAATAATGCTAGTGGTAAAATTATAAACAAATAAATTATCCTGATATTTAAAAAAGATAACTAGTTTTTAGTTGAAAAATGACAATTAAGTGTGAAGGAGTACCATTTATGCCAATAAAAACCATATAAACTCGACGATACTTTTAAAATATATATATATAATAAAAATTAGGTCCATATACCTCGTAATTTGCAGGACAATTAATTGAGCTTTGCATTTCAAATTTGAAGATTATATTATAAGACCCTCCGTTTTATTTTACTTAGTTCTTATATGAAAAATAATTTTCTTTTTACTCGTTTACTTTAGTAAATGAAGAAAAAAGTATTACTGTAATTTCCTATCATTAAATAATTATCTAAAATACTTATCTAATTTAAAATTTTAAGAGATAATTTATCATTTGTTTTAAATTTTCCCTTATATAAACTATAGTCATTTTCAAATCATTAAATTTATTAGAATCAAAATTTGATAGAGTAAAATTATCATTCTATTTATTATTTTTAAAGGTATGTCAAGTTAATACTGAACAAGTAAAAATTGAACATAAAGACCAAGTTTAATTTTTCAGAACATATTTAACAAAGTTAATTTAGTATAACAAATTTCCAATAAATACTTTCATAAAGATAAAATCAAATTAATATGAGCCGAATAAAATGAATCGGAGTGACAAGGTGATGAGACCCACCGCCCAAATATAAGATTCCTCGATATGCTTTGCTGTTAACTTCAGATGAAAAAATATAACAAAAAAATATATTCCTCTTTCGTACGTCCACTAACAAATATTATTAAGAAAAAATTAGGCCTCTTTGCTTGGATTCATGAATCTAAAGAATATATCTTTGTTTATTTTTGACTATTTTAATTTGTTAATTTTAAATATTCATAATAATTGCTGTTTAATTAACGTATTAATTTATATTATATATGTTCTTGATCAGATAAGAGAGTGATCTAACACTAAATATTGCATATATAGCTGTAATTGTTCCCCTTGGGTTGACCTATACAAAATTCAAATCCACTTATCAATTAGCAATAATAACAGTAATTAGGTCCTAATTACCTGATTTAATTTGTTAATTACGTGATTAAAATTCTGAACAGGCATTTAGACGAAAAAAAACTTGATCCATTAATTAAAGAAATTATAAACATGCAATGATTGATTAGCTAGGAAGTGAGCCGTTAAATTTCATGCCAAACACGAACTATATATAAGCTGACTAAAAACACATTTATTCTTATATTTTTAAATATATAGCTGACTTAAAAAACATATAATAAAATCATATTTAATATATAGCTGACTTAAAGCATATCTGTACTCATATTTTTAAAGGAATAATAATGCATTAATTTGATTGTGAGAAAGTAAAGGGGCCTGTCACTTAGGTAGGAAAAAAATATTCTAAATAAAGGAGATTAATTAGATGATGAATTATGGACCAAAATATAAGTAGATTAATGATGAGTTTGTAAACTCAATTTTGAATTTATTTCATGCAACAAATGTGCACCCCATCTAGACACACAAGATGTTGTATTGCAAAATTAAAGAAACAAAAATTTAATCTAGGTTGACTAGTAGAACAACTTTTTATTTGTCAATTTTATCATAAATTTTGTTTAATAATTACTATTTTAGGAAATTAAGAAGACATTCACTTATTTTATTTTTATTAATACATTGTTCAAATATATGATTCATACATTTTCTAAAGAAATCTTACCAATTAAACACTTGACAAATGAGCGATTTCATGAAATAATCTTTTTTTTTTTTTAATTTTTCACCTGATGTTCTATATATCTGCATTGAAGTTTGACTAACACTTTAGAAAGTTCCATGTTAAGAATAAAACGTTTCCTAACAAAGATGACTTCATATTTGAGAAGACTTTGAATCCGAGAAGAAGTACTTATCCACATTCCACTCCACCACAACCTCGATTGAAATAATTGTTTAGATTAATGCTACT